TTCATATGAACAAGTGTGCGTATTCTGCAGGCAGGGAGGTGTGTGTGAGCCTTTTAAAAACGATTTTTCATTTCTTGTGTTTGACAACTTTTTAGGCCTTCCCTGTGGTGAGTTAACAGCTGTGTGTTGTGGGAAGAATAGTTCTGATGACCAACTTCAGGGAAGGAATCTTTAGTCTAAACAGCTGTTATTTAATTTTTTCCAGAAGTAATTTTGGGAGAAAATACTGTATCTGAATATTGTCTTGACTTCATAGCACCTGTTTAAGAGATCAGGCTGTTAGAAGTAGGTACTGTCTTTAATTGTTTTCATTTGTCTAGTAGAAAGTTACTATCGCTCCTGTCCTTGCAATTTAGGAAAGTTAAGTCTGTAGATTTTACTCCAAGTTGTCTGACTTCTTATCCAGAATTTTAGATATTAGACGCTAACCCAGTACGAAGAATACTCCCTCTTAGAAATCCTACTTTAAGAATGGTTTCGTGAGTGCTTCCCGAAGAGAAAACCCACAGCAATTCTAAGGACGTAGTCTGAGCTTTCTTTGCAGAATTTCTCACTGCTCAAAGCTTCTTGGATCATGAGCTGGTTTACTCTACATCTTTGTTTTTTTTGTTTCTCATGAATTAATTCTAAAGGAAAACTTGTACAAATAAAGGATAGTTGGGAATTAGCAAAGTGCTCTTTACATATCTTTGCTGAAGTGTAAGTCATAACTGATGTTTAGTTTCAGACGAGTAACATCTCAGATGTGCTTTATGAATTCTGCATCATGGTTTATTCTTGAAAAAGCACTTCTTAGATGTCATGTGCTTATGAGTCACCTGGCGATCTTGTGGAAATGCAGACTCTGATGAAGCAGGCCTGGGATGAGCAGAGATCCTTTATTCTGACAAGCTCCCGGGGGCTGCTGCTGCTAGCCCCTGAGCAGCAAGAGGCCGAAAGACACCATTTAAACTGGGGTAGGTTGTGCCTTTCTGGTGGTGGTGGGATGACCTGCACATTAGGGCTGTTGGCATGTTGGTTAGTAGAACCCTCTTGAAAAGAAGTCTTAATAAGTTAAGGTCTGATAAATGCAAGCATTGTCTACAAAAGCTTTCAAAAGATAAAAAAGTTTGGTCTCGGTGTGAGCAAACTGAATTTTGCAAGTGTTACAGTTTTACATAGATTGTGACCTTAATGAGGAGTCCAGTTTTCTAATGTAACTGATTCATTATATTAAAAATAAAAACTAAACTAAGCCAATAGATTTATTGTATGGGATGAATTCAGTAGCAGGTGTTTAGAATTTAGAATGTAGAATTTGGGGGTGAATTATTAGTGTTAACGTGCTGGTGGTGAACAGAGCATAATGTAAACTTTAAGAGAATTTAGTAAAATGATACAGTGTAACGTACCATGTGAACAGAGGTTGTTTTAATGTTTTGTACACTGATAGATATACTAAATGTTCAGATTAGAAACCAACACAGAGTAGGTTCTCAGTAAGTGTTTTTAAAGGTTTAGCTTATGTTTATAAATTCTTTATAAATATCTGTATCTTCCTTTAGCCTTGATTCAATTGTTGATGTTTATCCTAGTTTACATTTGGCCTATAAGCCAAAATATGTTTAATCTTTGTCAATTCAATAACTGTCTTAAATATTAGGATGGGACTGGTCTCCCTGAATCTGGTTTCTATTTCATTCAGTAAAGCTGAACTTCCATTTAGGACCCATGAATTTAAGATGTGCTTTAAACCATGAGAAAGGTACACAAACACATACATGCCAAAGGCTAGTATACATTGCCATACGCAGTCTGCAGAAGAAAAATCTTATATGGCATGCTGGAATTGAGCGATATATGTAGTTAATCAAAATTTGATTATATTAGTTAATTCATTTAGTCTTAAGTATGACTTTATTCCCAAAAGACAGAGAACACAGTAAGTTAATGAGAGAATAGTGATGTACATCTTTAAATATCTCCCCAGCGCTGTGGCCTCTCTCCCCCTAAAATACAAACAGACAAAAAACCCAGTACTTTTCTAAAATCCCAACCCCACTTTGAGATTTTCCAGGAGAGACTGAAGTTCACTATATTTTAATCATTATAATACCCTTTATAAAAAAAATTAGTTTCACCTTATTTTTCTATTCAATGAAATGCCTGGTAATAATTATCACATGGAACTGTCTGTGGAAGATCATGGAGAGCCACCTAAAACTACTTTCAATAAAATAATAATTTGCTTCTATAATTTGCTTATCATAGCAGATACCTCACTTTGTGTAGTTAGGGTAAAATAAAAGCACAGCTTTCCATTTTCCTGTAATAGTCATCTCTTAAAACTCCTTTGGCCAGAATTGTCTTAAACTTATAAAGAAGATATAAAGGCTGTTTTTAAACCCAGGATGTGCTTAGACTAAATTGTATTTCATTTGTAATTGATGGATATTCCTTATCTCTGAAAGGTCAGCAGCCTATCTGCTAATTTATAATTGGCAGGCAGTTACCATATTACATGGGGAGAAACAAAGACGTTTCTTGGGGGAGAGGGGCTGTAGTAGTAACAGGCTTTCCATAAAATAAAATCCCTTCCAATACACCAGCTGTTTTGGCTGAAAAAAACTGGATCAAGATTTAAGAAAAGTGAAGGTCTAATTTTTGTTTTCAACTTGATTATTGAGAAGGAATTCCTGTCCTTCTGTGGTTCATTTCAATTTCTGCCACTCGATCTGAATGTGAATAACTGTTACTTATTTTTTCCTTATCCTTCACAGAAACAAATACTTTGAGTTCTATTGCTTTTGCTAACACGGCTCCTGTCTGTGATGGGGAGGTCTGATGTGCGATATCCTTTCCACCCAAACGCCCCTGCTGAAGTACTCTTCACTCCCATCCATCAACATACCCTCCATCCCCCTGCCATGATGGGAGTCCTGAAATTCCCGAGTGATCCTGAGTCAGCTATTTGAGTCTGGTCTTGCCAATGGCTATCATGTTATCCAACTGACAGATGTCCATTCTTTCTAGCAATAAGACAGGGAACCAGGATATAAACATTTTAGTCAGTGTGAAGGCCATCAGACAGAGAGATTTCTAAAGTATGGGGTTCTCCACTGACCTGGAAAAAAACGTCATTTCAAAAAAATGTTTAAGTGGTAGGTAGATTCCTAAATTGGCTACAAAAATGGCATACTGATGGCAAAGGTAAGAGGATAATAATTCATACGTCACATTTTCATAGGGATTTGGTCATAATACTCATGAATGCTTTATCATGAATAAATGAATTTGAGAAATATTAATTTGTCATGCAATATAATAAATGGATGCAAGCTAGGAAAGGTTATATAGCTGAGTTGTATTCATCACTGTATTACTTGTTACAGTAAAATGGAAACAGTTGGCATTGGTAGTAATTGGATGTTGGGCAAGTGAGCTATAGTACATGTAGAACCAATGATATGCGTCAACACTGATCCATGTGTTCAGAATATAGCAGTGAGAAAAAAAATCTTGGAGTTTAAAACCTAGTATGGGAGAAATGAATTTCTCCAGTGAAGACAACCCAATGAAACAAGCCAAAACATAAGATCACTTCTCAGAGCCATTTCAATTTTGTCCAGACCTAAAGGCTGATAGGAATAGAAATTATGAATAGAGGTTGAATAAAGAAAATAGCTACTTTATAATAGAAAATTTACAAGTGATGGCTTCCCATTCTGTGAGCTACAGAATGTCACAGGTTTTGTAGAGGTAAAATTTCACCACTTACAGAAATTGCTTAAATATAAGTACTAGATAATTACTCCCTTCTCTCAAAACCTAACTCCTAATATGGCTGGAAGGAGTTCAAGAATCCCTCTTAATGTTCCATGCCATTTGATTTTTTTCCAATTTACATATAGTATCTCTTAGAGGAATGTTTAATAATTATTTGTATGGTTGAATGTGGACAGATTCTTTTAAGTTTTAAAATCAGAATAACTTCTTATAACCCATTCTACTACTAGTAATTCCTAACTGAACAATGAGTTCTATGCCAAAAATATGTGAGGAATTCTAGATTTGGTGATTTGTAACTCCAAACTGAATTTCAGCAAAGAAACAATGTTATTTTAGAATCCCAAACTATGTACAAAAGGTTACTTCACCCCATAGTGAGGCTGGTACTATTTCACGGGAAAACTAGGCAGTGGGACGTTTGGAATGCAGATTTTTTCTTGCTGCTTATTCCTTCTTTGCTGTCAAGTTTGGTAAAGTTTCTGGTAACTCAGTCACTTGAACGTGGGACCAATGTATTACTGTTCCCTCATATATTGTTTTACTTCAAAGAAATCATCATAAAGTGAGGTCAACAATTGAGATCAAGGCTAAAGGAGGATGTAGATTTTTCCTTATCTCCCTGAAGCTTACTGATTTTCTATTCTGATGTTTTGCCTGAGTTTGGCCCAGCTCTTTTGCATGTTCTTTTCCTTTCAAAACTGGGATATGAATGTTGTCCTAGGCACCCAATAAGTCTCCAAGAAAGGAATGATTTCTGAGTCTCAGCCAGTCCACTCTCCTGTGCTGGAAATTCTGAGTTTGGTGAAAAGGACAAATGGGCTGTGGCTACAGTTCACTCTCCTATATCTGTAGCGCAATGAAAGATTCAGGTGCAGATCTTTCCTGGGACTTCGCTTATTAAGAATTACTTTACCCTGCTTGTCACACACCTAGCTAAGAATTGTGAAAGACATACAGTTGTACTGAAGAAGGATGAATTGCTTCAGGGGAAGAGCTTGTATACCTGGAGAGTCTCGTAAGGAGTTAGTGGTAGAGTGGGGCATGAAGCTGGGACACCAACGCACAAAAGAAAGTAGACTAATTTTGTCCATTATATTTGGAAATTTTTTACAGCCTTTTTTTCCCCTTAGAAGAACAGAGAAAAAAGTTTATAATGTACCTTGGCAGCCACCAACTGTGACAGGTATGAAGAAAGATGCCTGCCAGGCCATTCCATCTAGGAGTCAGGGAGGGCAAGTTTCTGATCTGGGCACTTCCTTGCCAGTGAATCAAGACCAGCAGATTCTCTCCGAGGACTCTAGCACACTGGGACAAGAGCTGTCAGGATATGACTTTAGTCTCAGGATTATAGTCTTGGTGGTTATAGTCAGAGGTGTCACTGGTTCTGTAAACTATGCTTGATACAGCATGGTTCCTTAAGTGCTGGAATGTACTATAAATTCCAAGTTACTGTAAATTTGGCTTCACATTTGACTTATATGATTAATATCATGATTGAAATAGTGTAGCTTGGTGGTAAAGATGGTATAAAAGTGTGGAAGTTAATTATTTGTATCTGATAATTGGTGATATTAGATGCTTTCTATGTAAACTGTTATTTTGAACTATACATATATATATTAACCCTATCATCAGAACCACCAATTTGTTGAGGTTAATCATTCTATTTGCAGATGAGGAAACTGAAACTTAGAAAGAGGATCAGTAACTTCCCCAAGTCTACACAGCTAGTAAGTGATAGATTTAAAATTAAGTCTATTTGACTCCAAAGCTATTTATAAGCTTTAAAATTGTCTTAAACAGAACATTAAGCCTTTGTTTTTTTCACAGTAGTAGATTTTCTCCCTAAACATTTGGTTACTTGTTTCAACTCTTACAGAAAAGCTGGGTTCTAGTCCTGGCTTTGACTGCCCAGCTGTGTCCCCGAACATGCCACCTGAATTCTCTGGACCCGTCTTGTCCACTGAATGAAGGCTGCACCACAGGATCACCAAGATCTTTCTAAAGGTCAACTCTTACAATCCCTGTACTTTGTGGATTTAGTCTTTGAGCCTAGCTCACTTAATCACTTTCCTAACTATAATGCCTTCTATTTGGAGCAAAAATATATGTACTTTTATTACTGGTAATATACCACTTACTGTGAGCTGACTGCCGTAGGTAACCATTTATCGCATTTCCTGTATGCTGGGAAATATACTAAGTGCTCCACACAGATGATCACAACAGGTCTAAAAGGTGGATTTTAAAGTTTACATTTTATAGGGGAGTAAGGTTTTGACTTACCCAAGGTCAAACTTGCGGAGTGGCGGAGCCAGAATTCTAGCCCTTGTGTATTTGACAACAAAGCCCTTATATATTAAGGGAACATTAATGTAACTGTATGTATTTTCTAATTATATATTAGGCTTAAATTAGATCATGGACATTGTATTTTCAACCAGTTTTTTTTCTTTTTTATAAGATATTGTCGGCTCCTGTCTGTGATTTTACTATCTGCTTACTTTCTGCCCGCTTTACTAACCACGGGGAGAAGCAGAGGAGGGAGGACGTTGCTGTTTTCGCGTTAAATCTCTATTTCAAAGTCTAAGTTTATAGTCAACAGCAGTAAGAGGAATGGAATCCCCGGCTTTCTGCCTCTGCGGCGAACCGCGGATCAACTTCCGCGTCCTCCTTTCTGAGAATGCGCCTTCTTCCGCTGAACTACGTTTCCCAGCGGCCCGCGCGGCCAAGCGCGCGAGCTCGCCCAGCCCTTCCTTCCTCCTCGCCTATCAACGGGTCGCAGCGTGATGATGCAAACCCGACGGGCGCTGACGGGTGACGGCGTTCTGGCTCGCGACCGCAGCGGCGGCCTTAGCAGCGGCAATAGACGCAACAGCGGCGACTGCAGGGACGACGACGACGGCGGGGCGGGCGCTGTGCGGAAAGGGGAGGGGTAGGCGGGCGGCGCCGGCGGCTTCAACTGCGGCAGCTACGGCTAGGGCGAAGGAAGAAGGATCCCCATCAGCCGGCGGTTGAGTTAGGCCTAAGCAGCGCCTGGAGCCGCTCGGGCTGTCCTCTGCGGGGGATCTCCATAGAGACGGTGACATACACAGAGGCGGGGGTCCGCGGGAGGCTGCCGGACCGGAGCCAGCTCCTCGGCCTCTGTCGCCGCCACCCCCTTCCCTGCCGCCAGCGCGCATTCTCCCTCCGCTCTTGCTCGCAGCCCCGCGGTCCCCGGTGTGCCCGTGTCCCACTGTGTGGGCAGCGCGGGCGGACTTTTGGGCTGGGGCCGGGCGGGGGGAGGCTCTAAGGCCGCCTCTGCCTCTCCCGCCCCCTTACCCGCCCCGGAGGGGGAAGCCGCGGAGGCTCCGCCATGGCCTCGGGAGCCGGAGGCATAGGAGGGGGCGGTGGCGGCAAGATCCGGACGCGGCGTTGCCACCAGGGGCCAATTAAGCCTTACCAGCAGGGGCGACAACAGCACCAGGTACGGGACTGCGACGCCGTGGGGGCCTAACCGGTGGGGAAGTTGGCGGGAGTGAACGGGCGGAGAGGGGCCCTGGCGCCCCACGTGGAGCGGACGGGAGGGCCTGAGGGCAGGCCGGAGCGAGGCGGCGGGATCTCAGGCCGCTGGGGCGGCAACGGGAAGTGGGCTGAGACAGGCCAACCTTGCGGCGCACACGTGTGGTTCGGGCCGCCTCTCTCCAGCCCTCTCGGCCTGGGGCTTTCCCCCGGCCTGCGCAGGGCGGGAACAGAAATCCTAGGCCACGATGGGCCTAGGAGTCTTTACATTTTGGCGGGGATTGGGGGTTTGAGGGTATTACTTACGTCCTTTCGAGAGAGAAAAGAAAAGATGTGGCTGGAGGCCCCTACGCTTGCTGTTTTGTAGTCTCCCGCGTTTCAACGTGTGTGAGGAGGGGGCTGCCCCGGGGGAATCTGCCTCCGGGGCACCTGGGGGTTGGTGGGGGCGCTGTTACACGGAAAGTGGAATAACTTAGTCTCAAACCTATTAATTAATTCTCCATCTCCCCTTCCTGTGTCCCTCCCCGATCTGAGAGCGTTGACTTAGATTTTTTTCCCCCCTTAACCGGGTTATAGTTAGTGGCACTGGGGCATTTTTGAAAGTCCCTCTCCACACTTACGTTTTTTTTTCCATCGCGAGACTCTTACCTCCCCATTTTTGCTCCCTCCCCACCTTTTATCTTGGAGGCTAAAATTGGCCATTATGCATACTTGACCGGGACTCCAGTTCTGATCTCATGCATAAAATATTTTAAATTATGGGGCGTATTCTAGAAATTTAGGTACTTTTGACACTCCAGGAATGTTGGTGGTCTTATAATTTAACCACCTTGCGCACGTGTGGGTGTTTGAAATTATGAAAAGGCGTTTGTCCTAACCGTAATTTGATTCTGAGGAATTTACTTTTTTAAAATATTTACTTGTTGGTTATGGGGATTAGATAGGAAAATGTTAAAAACGTTTTGATAAAAGTCATTTCTAAAACTTCTCGATGCTAAAGTGGGAAGTAAGTGTGTCTTGTTAAAAAAAAGTGTAGTAAAAGGATCTGATGATTTGTTGCCTACTGTTTAAGGTAGACTTCCTCGTCTGCTTTATCGCAGATGATTATGAATATTGAACACTTCTAACAAGTTTGGTGGTGGTATTATTGTATCATTAAAAACAGAATTTTAAAAGTAAAGATTGGAGAGCAATTTCTTAATAGTAAAAATTGTGATTTAGAATAATAAGTCGCTCTCTACTAATGGTTATAAGTCTTGGCATTACTGTTACCTCCCACCATCTTCGCCCAGATATATCCGGAAGGTGTTTGATTTTCAGATTTCTTTGTGAGGAGCAGGGGTGCAGCAGATTTAAGATTAGAATTCAGGTCACAAGCCTGGCCATTTAACGTAATCCTTTTGTAGAATGGAAGTTAGACACATGCTTTCTGTTTTTCCTGAAGAATAAATGTCTTTGAGTGCTTTCTTAGATTTCCTTAAAATAAAGTTACTACATAAAAATTGAAATGTTGTAAATACAGATCGTTGGATGGTCTGAACAGTTTAGAAAGGAGCTCATATATTCCGGGTGGCAAAAGCTATAATCACGCCTTCTATTTAAGTGTACTCAGGGAAAAATCTAATTGGGGGAAGATGATGCCTTAACAGCATAACACCTGTGACCCAAATTGCCTTAGAGCTGATACGATTTCAGGCTGTGCAGCTTTGTTTTAGAGCTTGATAATTTATCATTTCCCCCTGTCTAAAATACTTTTTCAGCTTTTTGTTCCAGCCATTTAATTGAAAAAGTACATTTTTAGCTTTTGAATTGACATTAAAGATGTCTAGGGGTTTCTTAATCAACACCGCAGGTGCTAATATTGGCAGATACTCTCAAAGGAAATTGTCTAGGAATAAACAAAAGAATACTCTATTTAAGGATCTTTTTAAATCTTAAAGTAAAGACTCTTTAGTCCTTACTGGGACGTTTGTGAACTTGGAGACTACCTGCCTGCTGTCCACTGTCCCAGGCTGCCATCTCTGTTTTGCAGCAGCTGCTGAGTCATCATGAATAGCAGGGAGCTTCATGACATGGCATGTTTTGTACTAATATTATTTGGTTAAATGTCTAGTGGTTTCTGAGCGAAAATGAAGTTTTGGATTTTGTAGCAGAGGGTTGGAATGAGAAGTCTGGCACTGTCGGTTAATGGATGTTTGCCATCGCCTGTCAGACCGACCGGCTTGTGCAGTCATGCAGTACCTGTGACTTCTGCATGTGTTCAACTGACTTGTAATTTCCTGTTTTGACTTCTGGTTTTGCTCTGCTGAGGTATATCTAAAGTTTACATTTTTTTCCCCCTTTTAACTTCTGATCTTTAAAATGGCATCTTGCTTGAAGTTACGGAGACAAAAAATTCATTGTCTTACTCAACTAACTGAGGAGTAGTAATATAAGAATTGTAGAAGTGAAAGTGAAAAACAGCGCGGAATGATCAGTTGATCATTTTTACTTGCCTTCGTCCCTACTCCCTAACTCTTAGCCCAGATGCCTTTAAGAAATGGTATCATTATTCTAGTTGGGAGTGAACAGGTTGCTAAAGAGGATGTGGTTAGTTCTTGTCACCTGTTCAGTCTCCTTTCCCATTTCCTTTTTGTGCAGATGGTCAGGCCCAGAAAGTCAGCTCTGGAGAGGTCAAGCTGCTTTTCTTGCTAGCCACCACCAAAAACTTGAGCCCATGGGCAAACCAGAACCTTGCCTCTGGAAGAATCTACTGCCACCTCCTGGTGAGAGGAGAGCTACTTGTTTTTGCCCCTTTATCTTCTTGGTTGTAGTTTGTCTTACAAGTCAGTTTCTGTATCTAG